ATGATTATTCTAATATATGAATTAACTATTTTTATTTTATTAAAAAATAATCATTAAATAAAAAATATTGATTATATTATAATATGAATTATCATTACAATTTTCAAACGTTATTATAAAGTCAAATTAAATTATTGATTTGAAATTTTAAATTTAATCATAATTAATTAGATCAGATCATACTAGATCAGATCAGACCAGATCAGATCAGATCCAATCAGATTAGATCAGATCCAATCAGATCAGATCAGATCAGATCCAATCAGATCAGATCAGATTAGATCCAATCAGATCAGATCAGATCAGATCAGAACTTATTAGAATCAGATCAGATCAGAAAAAATAAGTTGAACGGAACGGAGCCTAAACCATCAAAATGTTTGGGTATAACTACGGTGTATAAATGATGTACAATTTGTGGTGTAAGTGTAGCATGACCCTTCGTAGTTTCATGAGCTAGGTGATTTTGATTAAACACTGGCCTCAGGGGTCAACTCAATCAAAACTTAAAACCATCTTTTTATGGGCTGTTGGCTGTGGGTGATGTTTTGCTATGCTCTTTTGTTTATAGGTAATATCATGTATTAAATTGAGGGTTAAAAGTGTAATTTCATTTCACATAAGTCCTACATCATTATTGCCATAACCATTGTCCGAGCTCGCTATTGATGTATCGTTTGTCACCTGAAGTCACCACTCACCGCAACCATAATCAACAACTGTCATCGGTGAAATCAAACTCCGCAGCATTAATCATTTTTGTTGTGTTGTCCATAAAGTTAGCAATAGAATACATGGTTGAATGTTTTGTAGGTGTAAATTTATACTTCTAGCCTCGAATTTAATTCATGATAAAAGGGTACCACAATTTGACTAAAAAAATCAAATTATGTCAATCTTTTAGTGAATGAGGGAGTACTTGATAATATAAATATAGAATACTAAATATAAAAATACTCAATTTTAAAGGATCAATTATAAAAATTACTCAAAAGCTAAATTAACGTTAAGTTCAGTTAAAACTAGTTATTTGCAAAGAAATAAATAAGGGAGGATGGAGGGATTATTAGTGAATTGTACTCAATTTTTGGAGGAGGGGTGAAAATGCAGATTCTGTCACCCTCTGGAATCTACTCGTATTAGCCAAATGGAAGACCCTCTTTATCCAACCAAACACACCCTTGAATAAAATAAATTGATGGGAAATGATTGGTAGCTTTATTACGCAAAATTAAGTTAAAGGGATGAGGTTTTCCATTAAAAAAAGGGTAAAGGCATGAGGGTAGTACGGTAACTTCAAGGCTTTGTGCAAGTTGCTCAATTATAAGGATGACAATGCACGTGGTACAGATGGGTGTGCATACACGGGATGCAAGCTCAGCACGGAGAACAACTGGTAGAAGACACATGAAGTGGCGGTGGTTGATTATCTCATATATCCGGGCCGCTGGCTAGGCTTTGGACCCGGTTCTCATTTCGAATTGTAAATTGGCTTATTTCGCTCTGTTTTTTGTCAGAATTTAGAGTCGGTTTGGTATACAGAATTGACGGAATTGGACTGAATTAAGAATTGAAATTCTATGCATTTGATTTGGATAGAATTGAGTTCTCCCATTCCAATTCATTTTTGACATTCTTAATTGTAAACCCACATATTTTTGTGTTACCAAACAACAAAGTTGAAATTGTTATCTCCAATTCCAATTCAATAATTTGAATTCCGTGTACCAAATAAAACTTTATTGCATTTTGGTTTCAATTTAAATCTGATTCAAATTTAGATGAAGATGATTATTATTATTACTATTATAATTATTGTTGTTGTTATGGTAAGACAATAATAGTATTATAATAAAAGGCAAGGTTCTCATGATATTGGGAATCAATGTCATGGAATGACTCGGAGGCGCTCCGGTGCTCCGTTCGTAAAATTGACGGTTCCTACCCCCCTAACCCTCCCGGTAAATCCCCCACCCTGCTCCGACCCGAACACACTCCCCCACTCCCTTCAATATCACCCCACAAGTTGATTTTGACTTTGGAGTCTCCGTTGCACCTCAATTTATTTATGCACTATTTATTATAAATAATATATTTCTAACTATACTTTATACATTACAAGATTTAGTTTTAAATATCAGAAACGTCACATAACATCTGATTTTCCTTTCATGATTAACATTTTATATTCATTGTAACTCCTATCTTTGGAATAAAGTTATAAAACTTTTTTCACATTTTTTATGTCTTACTTTTATTTTATTCCTTTTCTCTAAACTATTTTGACTTTTATTTTTTTTTAAATTAGAAAAATGAGAAAAATTTGAGTAATAAAGGGAAAGATGAGGGATCTTATATAAACTTAGATTAATAAAACATTCTATGTAACTATTTATCCATTATTTTTTAATATAGTTTAAAATAGTGATGTTTTCTTATTTATATTGTAGATTAATATACAAAAAATTGTCTAATTCATACTAAAAAGTTGAAGAAAAAATAATGAGTGTGAATCGTAAAAATAGTGAGATGAAAAAATAATTTATAAACTACAGCTATGAACATAACAGTTCTAATAATAATAATAATATAATAATAATAATCACATTAAAAATATATCATTTTTAGGGTAAATAGTAAGAGAGTAGAAAAATTTTCAAGAAAACAAGAATAGTTGAAAAAAACTAGAAAGACTTGGAAAAAACTGAAAGAAACTGAAAGCTAATAGTTTGAGCCCTAAAGAACAGGCTCTCATAAAACAAAAGTTGTGACTTAAATACCATAGGACTAGGGGTGGACACGGTACCGGTACGGTACCGTTACCGGCGCCGGCACTGCCGGTACCGCCACCGTCAACATACACGGACACGGAACACCAATTTTGGGAACTGGTACCGACACCGTCAGGCATGGTACCGGTTCTGGTGCCAGTTTTTCGGTATCGGTACTGGTGGCACCGAAACCAGTTCTCGTACCATTTTAATTTTTTTTCTTTTCTTGCTTTGTGATCCTTGCTTTAAGACTCAAAATTTTCAAATTGTGACTAAATATTACTACACTTGTTTTTTTGATAAAAATAATTATTACTACTACCATTAATAGAATGGACAGAAGGAAGATATAATGCTATTAATCTTTTTGAAGCTTTATTTAAAGAATTTCAAGGAATATACGGTAATGCACCGGAAGAAACAGAATGTCCTCCGCCTCCCAAAGCAAAAAAAAGGTTTTAAAGGGATAGTCGGTGGGCTTTTGGCAAAAAAAAGATAAGCGTGGTTACGCTTCGACGAGTTCAGGTGGTACAACTGTAAGGTCGCACGACGAACTTGCTATGTACCAAGGGGTGCCATGCGATTACGACGGCGACGATGACGTGGACTTTGACGTCCTCGCATGGTGGAAGCGGAACGAACACTTGTTCTCATGTCTCAGAATGCTAGCCTGGTACCAATCGTAGTTATGGAACAAGAATTCAATTCTAGCGGCAACATTCTAACCAACTACCAAAGTTGTCTTAACGCTGAATCACTTGAGATACTTGTTTGCAACCGAGATTGGATCTTGGCAAGACGTCGAGCTCAAGAGTTAGGGTATGACATTAATTCTGAACATTACATAAATGCAACCACAAATGGAAGCCCTAGTTCCGAGGAATAAGTTATAAAAATTTTTTATGTTAATGTAATTAGTTTTTTAGGTGAGTGATATATAAGCTCCTTCGAAGGTTTTTTTACGGTTCTTTACCTCGTCGTTTTTTTTGAACCGTCAGGATATTAAATATAGTTATTCGTGTATTACTCATTTTTCAATATTTAAATAACAACTACTCCCTCCGTCCCATAGTATTTGTCCACTTTCATTTTTACACACCATCCAATACACTTCTTTAATGCATTTTATCTTGTAATTTGTATATTAAAAAATTATAGAAATTATATATTAATAATCTATATGTTAAGACAAATCAAACAAGATCACACATGACTATATTTAGGCTTACACATTGAGAGAATTTGATGAGTCAAATTGCTTAGATTAACAGTTCTAAAAATCAAAAGTGGACGAATATAGCGGGACGGAGGTAGTACATTTTTAGATATTTTATTTCATTATTTCCTTTAACAATTACACTTCTAATTTTTTTTTAAAAAAATATGAGGGTGGTCAAAATCGACCGATACGGTACCAGAACCGGTACCGTTCGCTTCGATGATAGTAACGGTACCTAGGGGTGGTAGTATCAAAACCGAAACCGTACCGTGTCCACCCCGGGCACAGGACTATAGGAGCCCAAATGCAACAAGCATTTAGTGGCGACAAAATGGAGGCCACTGTGACCGTGTCTTTGAAGCCTTTGTTGCCTCAATCAACGATCCAGAAAACTGTCATCTTATTCACTGATCATCAAATCTGTTTGAGCCCACTCAAATTCTCAGCCCTCTACTACCATTCTTCTGCTCTTCGTTCTCCAACCATCAGGTGCATCGGCGGTGATGGTAGCTCGTCGGAGGCTGTCCGAGCCCGCGGTTTGGAGGGTGCTTTGGCTGGTATGGTGGACGGGAGAGTAGAGGCACTTCTGGGTCGGGAAGAGAACCGGGCCTTGCTTGATGGGTTGGAAAAGGCGACCTTGAGAGTGGAAATTGCCAAGAAAGAATTGGCTGAGGTTGAAAGGCAAGAAATTGAAGCCAAGATGGTTAGGGATTACGTTCGCCAGCTTGAAAACAGAGCCTCAGAGGTCTGCTTCTCCTAATTCTCTTTCTATTGAATGTTATCTTCTTGAACTTCTTTTATTTTTTTCCACTTTTTAAAAACATTCTTTTTTAAAGAAATAAGTTTCCAATTGGGTTTGTCAGTGATTCATGTGAACAATGCTATTACATCTCTAGTATAATTTCTTTTTTGAATATGGAATTTGAACAAGTAATTCCTGAATAAGAAAAACATTGAAGTGGGCAACTAAATCCAGATGGAGAGAGTACCTAAGTTTCACGGTTTCACCTATGTACATGTTTTTTTTTTTGCCCAAAATGTCCCCATTTAAGTGCTTGCTGACATTTCTACCGCTAAATCCCTTATAAAATTTGGAAATGTTGGTGTGTTTTCACCTCCGTTTGAGTACCGTTCATTTTTATTGTAATACTTGTACATTATACTCCATAAGATTCTTGAAGTGTAAGGCCATAGAAACTTTGTCAGTACATATACACACGAGGGAGGGGATGTGATTGATAAAAAGCGATCTAATCTGAACTTGGACAAGAGTGTTATGGGTAGAAACAGATGGTGAGAGAGAACTGTTGTGAATGACCGAACGTGATCCTCTTCTTGATTCATGTAGTGCGCCCTAAGTTTCTTTGGACAAGGCTTTGTTATTGTTGTTGTTCTACGAATGGTATTGAGTGATTCTGAATTTGAAGATTGCAGAATGCCAAAAAGACATTTCTGAAGCATTAGTTATGGTTGAAGAGGCTGAACGAAATCTTGGTTCTGGAAAGGTTTTGAAAGGAATAGAAAACGAAACAATGGACAAGCGAAAAGAATCTTTTAATGCTGCATTGATTTCTGCAGTTGTTGGCACCATTGCAGGGCTTCCCATTTCATTGACTCGGGTCGCCACCATGGATGAGCTGATACCCCCATTGGCGATCACTTCTATTAGTTGTGCACTGTTTGGTGTAACCTTTCGCTATGTGTTTACTAGAGACTTGGATAATTTTCGGCTCAAGACTGGAACACCTGCGGCTTTTGGTTTTGCAAAAGGTAATAAGCAATAGAAATACACCCCCCCCCCCAAAAAAAACAAATCCAAAAATGTGACGTCTGCGAACACCATATTTTTTGGTTTTTCATAATTTTCAGAAGAAATATCCGGAACACGAAAATTGTTAGTGCATGACAAGAGCTTCTAGCTCTAGGTGGTGCTAATTATAATTTATAACTTTGCACTTGTGATTGCAGGCCTTGCAGAGTTGACCAATGGATCCCTTTTGGAGTTAAATGATCCAGCAACCTTCTTTTCTCATGCTGCTATGTGTATCTCTGAGAATCTGCTGGTTTTCCTGTTTGCTGCTGTTGGGTTAGACTTGTGCATGAAGTTGAGGATTTTGAGTCCATTCCCTTTAGAGAAATCAGCTCAAGAGTGACACTAAAATGTTGGTGTGGTAAATAAATAAACCGAACGTTTACCACACTAACCTCTTGTGGCACACTCTAAAGGTTAGTGTGGTAAAACAGATGAATCTGCAGCATTTCCTCTTGTATCTATAACCTCAGTGGCAAAATGGGCATCCTTTTTCTCACCCATGTTAGATTGTTGTTTTTTGGTAAATACCAAAGCTTAAGACTATGATATGTTTATTACTACATTTTAGTTCAGAATAAAGTATATTGCAGAAAGCAATCTCATTAACAGAAAGTAAATTGCACATTTTATGAATGCATAGATACTGAACAAGAATCAAGGGAAACTTTGCCTAGAATTAGCTCAAAATCATTTACCGTACAATCCTTTCAGCACTGTTGCATATTAAATTTAAACCATTGACTTGGCGCTTATCTCTTACTCCATCCGGCCTCTTTTAAAGTGTCTGTTTTGGTTTATTATGCTTGTCTAAAGTTATTTTTAATACAGTTCATTTGAAAATTGAAGCTTTCAAGTCTAAATATCATTTTAATTATAACTAAAATTTGATACTGGGTATCTCAATACCGGTGACTTATAGCTTGATCTTTAGTCTAGAAGTTTGATTCCGGATATTCAAATGGCTAACTATAACCTTACAACTAAAAAGAACCCTTCTAAGTGTGTCAAATTTTAGAGAGACGTGATATAATTTAATTTAAACAAAAGTTTACAAATGAAGTTGTAAAATATATTTGGTTTTTTTTGTTTTAGAGATAAAATAAAAAGTGTAAAAGAAAAGGGTTCTAAAAAGTTTTTGATGATGAAAGATTAGGTGTAAAAATTTATAAATTAATTGTCCAGTGTTTTTATAAAAATTGGATTAGCAACTTATTTTTATATAAAATGTGTGGGGTTGCAGAAAAGTATTTAAAGACACTCTCGTAATTCACCTAAATAATAACTACTTCCGACTTTAACACACTAATCATAAATTCAGAGTAATTATTTAGTCACAATGGAAACCACAATTATTTTATTGTATAAATACCCAATTTAATGGTGTAAAAATACAACTCAATAATCATGTCCACCTAAAAGTCTTCAATCCCGGTTAAAGGTAGAGAAGACTTTTGATGTCTTTAAAAAGTATTCTATTTTATGATTATATTAATTTTAGTTCACATTCCTTTTAACAACTAAAATTGGGCCCTTAATTAAAAATCAATACAACATTTAAATAAATAAAATCAACATTACATGTTAAAAATATTTAAAACTTTAAGATGACAATTAATTGCACCAACTTCTAACCCCAAAGGATTTTAGAAGTTCATAGTTTGAAGTTTAAACAAATAAATATTTATTACAATCATTAATGTCTTACAAAAATGGAAGATGTGTTCTTGAACTCTAATTTTAATTGATGGTATTAATAATGATTAAGATGTGGTGATTTTTGTTTATTTGAAGAATGGAAGTGGAGAATTTTTAGAGAGAAGAGAGAAATTCAGAATTGGAGAGAATTGAAATTGGGGAGTTCAACCTTAAGAATAAGAGAGAGAAGTTTTATGGAAAATGCTAGGGGTACACTAAAGGTGTACCCCGATTGTCTCCCACCTCCTTCATAACCACACAAATGACAAAAAAATTAAAAAAAAAAAGACTAAATAAAAATCAAATTAAAATGAATTGTTAAGGAAGGGGTGAGGAACAAATGAAATACACTTTTAGTGTATCCCTTGCATCTCCCAAAGTTTTATAGATAAGTTTATTTATATGAAATATATACAAACAGTAGCATAAAATTCTACAATGGGATAGTAGCGCACATGAAATTGGAGTTGCTAATTGCACGATTAATCTTGTGTTTGATTCTTCGCGCCGTGTTGGTATTTTGTCATTTTTTTCTTGTATTCTTGATGTATTTGGCGGGCTGGTCTGAGATTCACTTCTTTTTTCATGAGGGTGAGAGTTCAATTATCTATTTATTTTTTTCTTCTAATTTTTTATATTTATTTTGCTCCTAAATTTCAAAGTTTGTTTTCCGTCCTTACAATTAATCTTATTGCGTTCAAATGACCTCAATATACCTGCAAAACATATAAAATCAAACATAGGACTACTCTAACAAAAAATATAGAAAATTAAAATAAAATATGAAAATTAAATTCAAGTATGACTCAAAACTATGCCAAAAATTGTCCAAAAACTGTATAAAGTATGTGTGCATCGCTTTTTTTTCTTTTCTTTAAATCTCTACTTATTTTGGTCCCAAGCTTATAAGATTTATTTTCCGTCCTTACAATCAATTTTATTGCGTTCAAATATTCTAAAAATACCTGCAAAACATATACAACCAAGCATAGCACCGTTCTACATAAATAAAACAAAAATTTAAAATTAAATGTGAAAATCAAAGTCAATTGGGACTCAAACTACTTCAAAAAGTATCTAAAGAGTGTATAAAAATATGTGTACATCACTAGTTAATTCTAAGCTCATTACACCTAAGATGAAATAGCACTTATCTTTTAATAATAAACTCTATCATACCCAAAACTCCAAAAGTTCTTTTAAAAGATGGGGGCCAAATAGCTCCGGTGTCCCCTGTGTTTTGAAAAATTGGTACCAATATCCCTATGTTTTCAAAACTTAATTCTAAAGTTCCCGAGGTTTCAATACGTTGCACCCACACTCCCTCTGAACATTTTTCGGCCATTTTCCAGCGAAGAGAGGGCATTGACGTGTAAACTATTTTGATGTAAAAACCGTTCGAGTATTTCATTGATGCAAGTGAATATAAACATTCACCGGTGATACAAACGAGGATGCGGTGATACAAACGAAGAGACTAACAATAAATAATATACAAAATATTTACATAGGCTAACACTCCCCCTCAAGTTGGAGCATGAATATCAAAAATGCCCAACTTGGATAAGAGAGACTGAAACAGAGGACCAGGTAAAGCTTTTGTGAAGATATCAGCTGTCTGAAGACGTGTTGGCACATAAGCTGTGACAACGTGATTACGCTGAATACATTCACGCACGATGTGACAGTCAATATCAATGTGTTTTGATCGTTCATGAAAGACCGGATTAGCAGCAATGAACAAGGCAGATTTGTTATCACAGTATAGTTTCGGAGTTGCATAACACGGTACATCCAAAGCAGCAAGAAGCCCACGTAGCCAGCGAATCTCTGTACATGCGTTTGCCATTGCTCTATATTCAGCTTCAGCCGAAGATCGCGAAACTGTATTTTGCTTTTTAGTACGCCAAGAGATTGGAGAGCCGCCAAGCATGATGAAATAACCAGTCACAGATCGTCGTGTCAACGGACAACTTGCCCAATCAGAATCTGAGAAAGCAGTAAGAGTAAGATCACCATCGCGACGTAACAAAATTCCCTGACCGGGGTGACCCTTTAGATAGCGAAGTACACGCAAGGCAGCATTCCAGTGATCTAAACGAGGTGCCTGCATAAACTGTGACAAGACATGTACTGCATAACAGATATCAGGACGAGTGATAGTGAGATATAGTAGTCGTCCCACAAGACGTTGATATTTGGTAGAGTCACGTAGCTCAGCACTTGTAGAACGAGACAAGTTGTGGTTGCTAGGCAGAGGGGTGTCAACAGGCTTACAACCAGACAAATTAGCCTCTTGAAGAATATCGAGAGCATACTTCCGCTGATTTAACACCATCCCTGCCTGGGAACGGGCACACTCGATACCAAGAAAGTAAGAGACAGGACCAAGATCCTTGAGATTAAAACATTCATCCAAGTATTTCTTGAAAGCAGTGCATAGAGAAGAATTATTTCCTGCAACAAGAATGTCATCAACGTAAACAAGAACAACCAGCATATCAGGACCACTACGATAAACAAAAAGAGTATGATCAGCATGGGCTTGACGGAAGCCATAACGCCGTAACGCCAAACGAAGCTTAGCAAACCAATTGCGGGGGGATTGCCAAAGGCCATAGAGGGACTTACGAAGGCGGCATACTTTCCCTGGGTAAAGATGAGTATAACCTGGAGGAATCTTCATATAAATTTCATCGGTAAGTTCCCCATGCAAGAAGGCATTATTAACATCCAATTGATCAACCTGCCAACCCCTAGCAACGGCAACAGACAATAGAACACGAACAGTGGCTAATTTGGCTACTGGGGCAAAAGTATCAGTAAAGTCAACACCGAACTCTTGATGATTACCCAGCACAACTAGCCGAGCTTTGTCTCGTTCCTTGGTACCATCAGATTTATATTTGGTCCTGTACACCCACTGACACCCTAGAGCCCTCCGATTCGGTGGAAGATCTGTAATGTCCCAAGTATGATTATGCTCCAAGGCGTTGAACTCCAGAGCCATGGCATCACGCCAAGAAGCATACTGAACGGCCTCACGAAAAGTACGAGGCACTAGAGAAGCATCAATAGCACCAAGAAACCCTTTGTACCTGTCATGTAACTTATTATAATGAACAAAGTTAGTAATTGGAAACCGAGTACCAGATGAAGATGAACTAGATGATGAGGAAGACAGAGTGACTGTCTTTGCGGAATGAAGAACATAATCGTTGAGATGAGACGGAAGGCGGCGGTTACGAGGAGGCAACGACTGGATAGTGGGTGGCGGAGAAGTGGCTTGTACCGAAGGGGCGCTACTGCGGTTGTTGTCTGGGGAGACGGAGGACGAGGGAGATGGAGGTGGTGATGGGGTAGGACTCGAGACTGGGGAAGAACTAGATACGACTGTTTGTTGTGGGGATGATGGTACTGTGGACTCGGATGACGGAAGCACTGGAAAGTCTTCTGAAGAAGGATTTAAAATGGGTTGAGGAGATGTAGACAACGGGGGAATGGCGAAGGGAAATTGTGTTTCGTCAAAGGACACATCACGAGTGTGAAAAAATTGATGGGTCTCAAGATTGTATACTCGCCAGCCTTTAGTACCGTAAGGATAGCTGACAAACATACATTTCACACTTCGGGGATAGAATTTATTTGTGGGTTTAGGCATTTGACGAACAAAACATAAACAACCAAAGACACGAAGATGACCCAAGCTTTGAGGTTTAGATGACAAGATCTCAAGCGGAGACTTACCCCCAAGTAACTTTGTTGGTGTACGGTTGATAAGATACACAGCAGTTTTGACACATTCTCCCCAAAATTCAATGGGAAGAGAAGCTTGAAACATAAGGGACCGAGCAACATTTAATATGTGACGATGTTTACGTTCGACTCGGCCATTCTGCTGTGGAGTGCCTACACAAGAAGTTTGAATGCACACACTTAAAGAATCATAATATTGACATAAAGAAGTATTGAGAAACTCAGTACCATTATCAGACCGTACCACTTTTATTGTTTTGGAATATTGAGTGTGAATCATGGCAAAAAATCGCTTGAGACAAGATGTGACCTCACCTTTTGTTTTGATGAGGTAAACCCAAACAGCTCGAGAGAAATCATCAACAATAGTGAGAAAGTAATGTGCACCAGATGATATACAAGGAGAATATGGCCCCCATAAATCACAATGAATTAAATCAAAAACAACAGTAGCTTTATTATGACTAACGGAAAATGAGGAACGAGTTTGTTTAGACAAAAAACAGATTTCACAGGTCTGTAACTTCTTGACAACTGAGTTTGTTTTATTTAAACCAAGAAATGGTAGAACATCTGAGGATGGGTGTCCTAACCGTTGATGAAGAACAAACGGATCAATATTAGCTATGAGAGCTGATGCTGGAGGGGAAGCAAAAACATACACACCGTTTCGCAAATCACCATATCCAATCTCCATCTTCGTCGCACGGTCCTGTATTACACAACAATGATCATTAAAAGTTACACAACAAGTAGTTTCACGAACGAGACATCCAACTGATATCAAATTACACTGTAAGTTTGGTACATATAACACATTATGAAGGACCAAACTAGGGGAAAGTTGCACATTTCCCTTTTTAACAGCCTGAATATGAGATCCATCAGGAAGACAAATGGAATGAGGAGAAATGTCATTGAGATCAAATAAATGTGATAAAATTCCTGTCATATGATGCGAGGCACCACTATCAATTCACCACTCACAAAGGCTGCTAGAAGTCATACCATTAGTTTGGTTGCATGCAAAAGAATCAATTAGAGACATTAATAAGACCACCTTATCATCATTCATCCTGGCTGCCATAAATATCCACAAAACACAGTGGAGAACAGAGAGGAAAAGCAACACAGTGGAAGAGCTTCACAAATTGATGAACAGATTGGGCAAAACACAATTGCAAAATTGATGAACACAGTGGAAGAGGATAGGCGCACTATAGGCTGAAATAAATGAACGAATTTGGCAAAACAAACTTCACAACTGTTGGACGAGCTTCACCAGACGAGCTCCAGAGATCGGACAATCAGATCGCCGGAAGATGAAGCGTGCGACTTATCGGACGAGCGCGAGAGTGACGGACCTCTGATGATGAATTGAATCTTGCGATCGGCTTTGACTGGCGAACTTCAGAAATAGCTGAATTGAATCTAAGAAATTTGTTCTTCACCACAGCAATAGGGCCGACGAAATTTGTTCAGCAGAGACGGCCGAAGATTTTTGGCGACCTCAACAGAGCCGATCGAAACAGAGACAAGGATTGCCGATCGGAACACGGACGGACAAAACTAGGTTAGAAAATCCCAAGAAAGAAGCTCTGATACCATGTAAACTATTTTGATGTAAAAACTGTTCGGGTATTTCATTGATGCAATTGAATATAAACATTCACCGGTGATACAAACGAGGATGCAGTGATACAAACGAAGAGACTAACAATAAATAATATACAAAATATTTACATAGGCTAACATGACGCATAATTCCTAAGAGTAATTTACCTAAATAGGACTAAAACATAATGACTTTCCCAATATAGGACCATATGTTTTTATTTCCCAATATAGGAGCTTTGGTCATTATCATGTAGTCATTATTCAACTAAATGTCTATCATTACTGGACATTATTCCTCCCACAAGGTTATTATTAAGTCATATTTAGGGAATAAAAAAATTTAAGTCCTACATTAGGAAAGTCATTATGTTTTAGTCCTATTTAGTGCAAATTTCACAATTCCTAAACCATAGGGGGCATTCGTCCTCATTTCTTCTTTTCTTCTATTATTCTTCCGCTTTTCTAAATATTTTCTATCTCTTTTTCCTAGATTTTGTTTAAAATACATTTTCAATTTTTTATAATGTTTTAAAAATTTTAAAATTTTTTGTGTTTAAAATAAAAATAAAAATAAAAAAATTAACATACATTACATCTATCTCGAACTAAACATTTTCACTTTTTGTTACTTAGAATAATTTTTTAGAAAGTTAAAAACCCCAGAATAAAAAAATAAAAATATGGAAAAACTAGATGAAAAAATTAAAATATGCAAAAAAAAGTCTTATAAAAAAAAGTGGACACTCTTAAAAAGTCCTTAGAAACAAGATACCCAAAAAGGATATTCATTTTTAATTTTGTATTATTATGTTTCTTATTTTATTCCTCATTTTTTGAAGTTCTCAAAAAAAAAGTTCTCAAAAAAATTACTTTTTTTCAAGAAAAAATTGTTAATTTGAGACGTACATATGCATTACATGTTAATTTTTTTAAACAAAAATAATTTTAAATTTTAAAAACGTTATAAAAATAATTTTAGAAAAACCTTTATTAATAAATTAAACAAAAAGGAAAAAATAGAAAAAACAAAAAATATGCGAGAAATAAAAATCGGCACTAATACCCCTTATGGTTTAAAAAATATGCACCAACGCCCCCTTCTTCGCCGGAAAAATAGCCAGAAAATGATCAGGGGTGACGGGTACAACATTTTGAAACTATAGGAACTTAAGAAAACCCCCTAAATAGGAGTAAAACATATGTCAAATCTTCAAAATAGGACCTCAAACATAAAATCCTCTAAATAGGAGTAAAAATTATTAAAATATAAAATCAACCCACAACCTCAAGTTCTTCCTGGCCGGATCCTATTCCAAAGACCAAAGTCAATCTTTTCCGCCGTCCACGATCTTCGATCCTTTCCAATCTTCATCTCTGCCACCTAATAGTAGTGTCATAGCCGCTGCCACTTCTGATTCATAGTGCCATCGCCACCACCATGCACCCCCACACCCTAAGATTCGTCGCCTGGCCCGCACCTTCTCAGATTTGCTACCTCACCCCACCCCAATTTCACACTATTAAAACTTTCAGAATTGTTTGGGTTCCCTATTGATATTTAATTGAGTTTTTATTTACCTTGAGTTTTGTTTGGATGCTTTCGGATAGCGATTCAATGTCAGAAAATGACGGCCAACAATTGTCAATGACGGTTGCTCATCCGGCTGCCATAACGGTAGCCGTGAGATGGTGGACGGTCACTGGTTATATTATTGGATTTATTGCACGTCAGTGGTTGAGTTTGACATTATTCATTTGTTTGACATTTTGAATTTGCAACAGTGACATTATATATGATAATTTGTAGCATCGTGCATTACCATATGTGACATTATATGATAATCAGTGGCATTATGCATTACCATATGTTACATTATATATGGCCATGTTTGGAATTATACCTTCGTTGTTGTTAATGTGGCTGTTGTGGCACTGCGACGGAGACTGTGCAGAGTGTAATGGTGGTGTTGGAAATGTTACAGTGTGTCGGGAAATATTTGGAGCTAATGCAGTAGTTATTTGACTTTTCGCTCATCAAAGGTCTGCCACCTGATTTCAGGTTCGTCTTCAATTAGATGCAATGCATGCGGTTACTAGTGCTTATGCGAAGCCTATTTTTGTTGACATGCTCAGAGCTAGCTTGGAATGTATAGTTAATGGTGTGCCCCTTGAGGATTTTGGGCATGGCCATCCAGACCCTAATCTTTAGGCCTGGACACGGTACCGGTACAGTACCGCTACCGGCAACGCACTACAAGAAAACTGTCAATCTGCCACGGACAATTTCTATTGCAGAATTTGAAATTCCGTGGCAGATCTGCAACGGACCTGCAACGGATTCGTCTAATTTTGCAACCCAAAAAATCTGCAATGGAAGTCTATACACTGTTGCAGATCTGCAGCGAAATCAGCAACGTACTACTCTGTCGCAGACTGCCTGATCGCAACCACTAGTTTTTGCTATTTTTTGGCCGTAGCTATTAAAATCGAGGGCAAAACACATTCAATTTTCACACATAATTCTAAACAAGATATTAATACGAAATACATAATTCAAAACTAGATTAATGAAAACTTCACGTGCAAATGTAACATAATTCATAATATTGTAAAAACACTAAATATTAAAGTGTTAGTTTCAAATAATGTCAAAGGTGTCAACAAATCCCAGGCTGCCGTGCACCTCCCGGTCCATCATCATTGCCTCGTGTAGGAATGTTACCACCATATAACTTCCTTATCTCCTCCTGAATCGTCAACGACAAGCTCGAGGTTCGACTATCAATTTGTTCCTGCAACCTTTGATTTTGCTCTTTAAGTGCTACCATCTCCGTTGCGCTACTGCTACTAGTGCTGGAACGGCGAAGTTTGTAGGACGGATTGATCTTCCTCATTTCCCGCTCGTAGTCACCAACTCCACAAATGCAGTTCTTCGCGTTATGGCCATCGACTAGCGAGTACCATATTTCCTTGTCGGTGGCTTTAAGCCCATTCTGTCTAGCCTCCTCGCGCAGTTAGAAGAATTGGGCCTGCAATATATGATAGTTAATAACACGCAATAACAACGTAACAATAATAGCGTTAAGAACAGTAAGAACAACAACATAAACATCACTGCAATTAATTACCCAAATCAAAAGTTTGAAATTAATTAATAACGAGAAACTATTAGGAAGTACTCCGTAGTTTTTTGATATGCTTAAAAGTACCTGACTTTGCTTTAATTTGAGCTAGCTGTACAACAGCATGCATGGTAATCACATCATCGTCATCAGTTTTAGTTCACTTGGTTCCTTAAGCACAATATTTTTACCTGAAGTTAAACAAAACAAAAAAACACATTTGATTTTTCAAAACAGAGATGACATATATCCAGCTATGAATATAAGATGAGAGACCCACACGAGTGGAATCATCACTGCAGAACTTAACTAATTGAAGCAAAGAGGAAAGGGAAGAAAACTAACCACAAAGAAATACTCGTATAACAATTTAACTAAGGTCAACAACTAGCTGCAAGTTGAAAGGTATCATGTAGTGATTGTATGCAAGTTTCCAATTGATCGTGTGATATAATAGTGTATTTTCTATTTCAATCCAATTACCTCTAGGGTGAACGTGGCACACTGCAATCCAATAAACTCACGATTTTCGAATGGACTCATTTTAGAAACGTCTGATAATTGGGCAAACAATAATCATTAAACCAACAGAAATAGATCCACGAAAGACATAATGAGTAGAGAAATAATGCTTAATTACCTCCAGTTTGGGTTGCCCATGAGAGAATTTGCCAACCAAAATATATTTGTCAATGAGAGCTAATTGGCTGACCTCAGATTGCATAAAACGGAAAGCGGGCATGCCCGGATAGACGGTGACCTCACGATCGGGAAGAAGCTCCGTAATAGAAGTAGGGACTTTGATGCGATTGGAAGCCGAAACTACTTGCGCGAGGCTGGGAGTATGTTTTTTGGAATCAGGAGGAGGAGCTGGAGTTTCTGGAAATTGGCCGGTGGCCGCCGCCGCCGCCGGAGCTCCGGTGACCGTCGCCGGGAAATTGACCAGAGCAGAATCGGGCGGGACCAACGCCAAACGAACCGGTTTTGCATGAGGATCACGAATATCCAGTTCTTTTTTCACAATTTGGCCTTGAACAGCACGAATTGAAGATTTTAGGCTCGGAAAAACCTTAGAATCCAAATTTGGGGGTTTCTTCAAATCGCCATCAAAAGCTGCAATTGAGGACTCCTTAAGGTGCGCTGAGATGCCAGAAAGGATTTGGTGGTGCTCTTCGACATCAATTTGATCGGTGGTGACCGGATTTTGCTCCAACCCACCGGAAACCACCATGCCTGATCGCGACGGCGATCTGCTGATTCCGGCAACCAAAATTCTCGATTCCAGTGGCGTTGGCTTCGTATTGACGTCAGGAATCTGTTGGAAGGAGTTTGGAGCTTCATCACTGAATGTAGTGGCCGGAACAAAGTGTGCCGTGGAGGGGGAGCCGCCATCTTCGGCCCGCCGGATTCCAGCACTGTTTCCGGTGATATTTGGGTGCTTTGTGATCGTCTTGACATCAGGAAGACGATGGGAGCGTGTGCCTGGCCTGCCGCCGGCCATGGTGGCCGGAAACGAAATCGCCCAAAAGGGCGAGTTTAGGCGAGAGAGAGGTTTTTTTTTAATATTTGCTTCCCATTTCGTACGTAGATAGAAAAGAGGATAACCCTATGTTATTTAGGAAATACATTGGATGGAGATTCCGTAGCAAATCGGCTTTGGAAATTGTATATCCGTGGCAAATAATGTTTCTTTTCCAGAAATTATTTTTCCGTTGCAAATTCGTTGCAAATCTGCTACGGATATGTGTCCGTAGCAGATTTTCGTTGCAGATCAGATAAATTCTTGTAGTGACGGTACCGCCGGTACTGCTACCGTCACCGCCGGCGTCACGTATCTCCGGTTCCGGGGAACCGGTACCGGCACCGCCCCCAACGGTACCGGTTCCGGTACCCATTTTTCGGTACCGGCACCGACGGTACCGGTTCCGGTACCGTTTGTATTTTTTTTTGATTTTCCAAGCCTTCGGTCATTAATTCTTCAGCATTCTGCATTTCTGCTCAGCCTTCTGTTATTCGGCCTTCTGCTTCTTTTATTTTTATTTTCCCAGCTATCCACTAGACTTGATTTTCCCAGGTACCGTTTTTTTTGTCCAGCGGTCCAATAAGAAGAGCGAAGAGGAATTGAGCCGGAGATACAGAAGAGGAATTCAGGCTAAGGCTATTTTTTTCACAAAATTTAATAAAAAAGCAAAAAAAAATAATTGGGGGTGGCCGGTCCGGTACCATAACCGCCGGTCCGGGTACCGGAACCGGTACCGGCCGGTCCGGTCACGGTACCGGTACCAAGGGGTGGCGGTACCGGAACCGGCAGTTCCGGAACCGGAACCGTCCCGGAATCGTACCGTGTCCACCCCTACTAATCTTACATAGGCAAAGGATTTGGTCAACATAATGTACATTGAGGATGGCCCAGCCCCCCCCCCCCCAAAGTGTGTAAATACACACGCATGCAAGAAAAAGAAAAAAACAAAGGATGGGAGAAGAGGGTGTGAGAAGAGAGAATTGAGGATAAAATTAATTAATTCACTACAAGAAAAGAGCCTTTTAGCCTCATTTAACTCGCCGCACTTGACCAAGTGTGGTAATAAAATTAAGCACTTTATTATTACCAACACTTAAAAGAGTGGCAAAAGATGAATTTATTTACCCGCATAAAAAAGTGTGGAAAATCACATAAATATATCTAATTATAGAAAAACATACATCATTATTCATTCTTTTTTCCGTAACATAGAAATTGAAAATTTTAAATTATACAGTATTACTCTTTAAAAAACTTTAAAAGTCTGGACAAGAAATTCGCTGAAATATTAGCGCCCACTTTTTCATTTCGAGCGCCTAAAAAGTAAAAAAAATACTCCGTATAGTTCATTTCCAGCGCCTTAGTTCTCGCACATCCGGATCGGATCTGTTCTCCTCATCACCGACTACCTAAGTGAATTCGATCTTTTTCGTTCGAGGAAAGCCTGGGTTTTCAGATCTACCCCTTTCGTTCAGCTCCAAATTCAGGCAGTGTGCGCGTCGTTATCGTTTGGCTAGATTCATTCGTTCATATCAGCATATCAATTGAGTGGAAAAGCAATCGCAGGTATCGAATAAGTCCCCCTTCTTTACTACTACTTCCATTCAATTTGATTTCAATTATGATTCAGTATGACCCCTTTGTTCTTGCTGCTTCAGGCTAAAATTCGTACGCAAATACTTCATTTTATTTGGATTGTTTGATGATATCATGCTGTTGAACTAAAAATCTGCGAGTAGTTTTCAGATTTACTTCATTATATTGAAAACCTTCTTGATTCTGATTTTTTATGCTATTTTTTAGGTTTAACCAAAAAAATATCTTAACATTTTAGGGTTAATTCAGCTTGAATTGATTAATCGTATCTAAAACCAGTGAATTCAGCTTTCTGTATTCAGAATGTCGTTTA